AAAAAGTTGATTCTATTGGAAATGTTTTTAACAAAAAGTATAAAGTCATTATATTTAAATTCTGGAATATTGTTTTAATATATTTAAATGTTATTTCTTTATTAAATTTTATCAAAAATTACGCCTGCTATTTCTCCTCAAACTTGGTCCTCCGTCACTAATTAACAAGTTATCTTTGCTTCAGATTATCTGAAATATAAAAGTTTGTATACTGTTTGATTTTTTATATATACATATATTTATCGTTTGGTGAACAGGCAAAAAAGAATTGATAGTTAAGAAAATGCAACTTGTCAAATGTAAATCATCAATTTCGCTCTAAAAATTGGCTCATTTATTTTACAATAAAAATATAAATATGTATATAACAAATAGTTATATCAAACGATAATTATATGTATATAAAATCAATTACTATCATATTTTTACATTTTAGATTATCTTAATGAAAGATATCTTGCGAATCAGTAACAAAACACTATATGTTTAAGGAAAGATAGCAGACGTAATTTTGATCGAAATTAATAAAAAAAATTGTTATTTTAATTTACATTTAAGTATAACATTTTAGAATTTAAATGTCTCGTATATACTTTCGTTAAAAAGAAATTCTCAAGAGAATCGACTTTTTTACTTAAGAAATAAGAATCCCTACTTTAATTACTCATTACACAAAAATATTCTAACCTTTCTGTTAAACAAAAATGTATTCCAAAATAATAAAATTTGCCACAATTATAACTCTCTCTCTCTCTCTCTCTCTCTCTTTCTCTATCCTCTTTTTATATTAAAAACATTGTACATGTTATATTAACTTCTTTTCCTCTCTATATTAGAAATATTATACACATTAAATTAATTACCAGTTTTTGTCGAATACTTTCAAGTACAGGCGAAATTTTGATAATAATTGATTTTTTCTCTTTGATCATAGAGCTGCGTGAAAAATCGACAGTAATCCTAATCATATCGCTGAGATAGTTGTCGCCCTTCATTGTGGCCGGTTTTGAAAATATGTCGATCACTTGAATCGAATTGTCGTTTTCCCACTTTTGCAGAATCTTCTCTATGAAGCATTTGTTTAACCATGTCGATGTTTCTAGAGCCATTTCTAAAAGTGGAATTGGAATTGAAGAATTTTCTCGACAAATTATTGTTCTTCCTTGTTGTGTTACAAAATGCAAATACAATTTTTACCATTTCATTCGCGACGACATTTATCACGTTTTTTTTTCTTCCAACTGGCTTCCATATTCATAAGTTAACAACTTTTTTCTCAAAGTATAAATAATTTGAATGTTTAAATTTTTGGATTTCTTTTATATAAGATATATAGTATTGTACTTTTTTTTAAGTTTAAAATAACACAACACTTTTTACTGCATTGACAAGTTGAAACAATATATTCGGTTGGGGAAAAAATTTATCGTATTTTTAAAAATTGTATATACAATATCTTTGTCAAAAATGAACAAAATTTAAAAAAAGTATTTTAAAGCTTGAAATCTCTACTTTCGAAAGGTTACACTATATTTTTTTTTAGTTTCTGTGAATTTGATAATTTTTACATTTAAAACTACGAGCTGAAAAAGATGAAAAATTTTCTTTTATTATAACTTTGGGGATTTCTCACATGTCCAAAAAAAATTTATGAAAAAATTTTCGACTACTTATCATGAAGCTTTCCTATAAAATTATTTAAAAATGTTCCTATGATTTATGTAAAACTGATTTTTGTTAAAGTGAAATAGATATATATTTGATATTTCACGAAAGTTCAAAAAAAAATTCTGTAGTCTAGCTCTAATGAAGAAATAAAAAACAGACATATAAAGTATTGATAATAAACAATACGCTAAAGTGACTAACCTGAAGTTATTCGTCTTTGAATTCAATCCTATATTTTTTTAAATGTTTATATTTCACTGTGCCGTAAGTCAGCCACAAAATGATACGTACAGAACAGAAGTAACAGGCTTTATATCTACATCGGTATATTCATTTATTCATTCATCATAGGCTTTGTATCTACAAAGTTTTAGATAACTGTAGAAGCTTGGTAAATATTATACACATGCAGATTTATCTTTCGATTAGATAATAAACGCTAACGGAAATGAAAAAATGATGATAAGACAAGCACCCTGTGCGATTTTTTTGTTCAAAAATAATTAACATCATAAAAAAATCACACAGTAAACATTTACGACATTCATATCATTACCTCTGTTTAGTCTTTATCGATAGAGAAATTGTGAAAAAATTTTATTATAGCAGAGTGAACTGACAAAAAATTTCGCAATTACAGTATGATGATTCGCTTTAATGCAATAGTTTTGTCAGAATAAAATTTCTATTTATAAAAAAAAACTAAATAATACCAATTCTAAATGATATTTGTAAAAAATTAAACAAATTCAATTTGAGGTGTATTTGAGGTGAAAATATTTTAATAATTTCATAATCAGTCCGATGTACAATGAATGAAATTTTTCAGTCACGCAGTTACGATGATCAATACTGTAACACAAAATCATATAAGATTCTAATTAAATATATGCTTGAAATAATTGACATGTTAAAAGATAATTTTTACACGCATCCAATTTTTTATTCATTATACAATTAAATATTTACTAGCAGCTTGTCTTTTAATTTACGTATTATACGTTCTGAGATTTACGTATTATACGTGTTCTGATTTCTATCTCGGTGCTCCTCGAATATCATGTCATTCTTACTTAACATTCGGTAAACAACAACGATGATATAACATCCGGGGAGCACTCAGGTGGAAATCTGAATATGCTACGTAATATTTTTGAGAATATAGAGATTACCAGTAAAAAAAAAGGTATATAAGAGAAAAAGATATACATGTTGTTAAAATATTTATTTGCACATAAAACATAAATAATGAAAATTTTGAACAATTATAAAGTAATTATTTATTAATTTTGTAATCTTATTAAATCACAATATTAAAGTGAAACTGGAATATAATTGATATAATATACATATAATAATATTAATATATAACAAATAAGAGTTAATATATAATGTATAATACATAACAATATTAATATATAGATAATACATATATATATGAAATATAGTCAAACAACTATATAGTAAATTATTACATCACAGTAATGAACAATAAAAAAACAAATTATAAACTTAAATTATCAATATGCATCGATGGGCCCAGGGCGATCGCAAGTAGAAGATCAGTTACAATAACACTTGCAGCTGTTATTAAATAATACGAATGCAATAGGTCCAATTTGTGTTACTTGCACTTTTTGCACTCAGCATCTTCGTTTTCTTTCCTTTCATATCCGAATATAAATTTATTTCATTTTCAATACAAAAATTTTTAAGGATTTTACAGGATTACAACGCGAATAGATATAGCCAATAAAAAATTATAAAAATTTGAGATTACTTAAAAAAAATCTGCACGGACGCTCCTAAATGACTTTATAGGATAATTCCGCGGAAATCCGAACGAATGGCAGCTCTAGTTGTAATTATTTATTTCTAATATTTTTATTTATTTTCCACATTTATATTTATTTTCCATTTTGATTTTTCTACCATTAAATATGAAGTAAAGAGATCCAGAGATTAGAGATCCAGTAAACCCCATTTGTCATATAGTGGCAGTCTTTTTATCATTAATTTTTTATAACTCTCGCTCTTGAAACCTGAATTTATACCTGTGCTCAATAATTCATCCATATCATTCGCCTCAATCCTACAGCACAGCATAAACGGTAAAATGGTAAAGAATATTATCATTCCATAGCTAGCTCTTCGTTTTAGAATATCCTTCATAGTGGGCAGTTGCGTCTTGCAGTTTAATTGCTTCATAATTGTTGACAAGGTGTCAAGGTATTCATTTAATAGAATATCTATTATTTTATTTTCAATGATATCAAAAGAAAGATTTGAATTGAAAAAGTAGAGAAGATCAAGTGCTGGTGATGCGTAGACGCATATTTGAAAATCTACCTGCAATAAAGTAAAGTTTTTTGGTTGTCACTCATTTATGTCTACGACAATTGTGATAAAATCCGTGCATCAGGAAAGAAGTGAAACATCATGTTCAGGAAGTCGTGACGACAAAGTTAATAGTTACATAGATGACATCGGCAAATGAATATACCTGCATACGCAATTGGTTAGGTACATTTATACATTCTATTTTCAAGTATCTCATATATTATCACTGTCTGTTTATCTTGATTGCTCAAGCTGAAATTGTGGATGATTAAATTGTGCTAACATTTACCATAATAGTGCATTTCGTTTATTTATTTATTAATTTAATTTATCGTTATGCAAATTTATATCGTTGCACTTAATTATAAAAATTACAATAACAATTCAAAATTATAGATAATTGGAATAAAGTGACTAAGCTACATTGAATTATGTTTATAATAAAATTCATATTTGTCTAAGTCTTTTATACTTGTCTTTTCAGTAATATAAAGTCGTATCACACAAAAGTATAATGTACTAAAAATTTCATGAATATTTTATTTAATCTTAGTTCTTAGTCATAAAATAAAGTCATGACTATAATAAATCAATGAACATCCATGTTCAAACGAAGTACAGTAAGATTTTTTATGTGACTTGGTATAATACTTACAAAAATCTGATCAATGGATTTGCTATTGTTGTCATATTTAAATAACAAATTGTTTGCATGACAATCACCATGATTAATAACGTTAAATTCGTCTTCACAAAGCTTGGTTGCATTTAATCCTATTTGATGTATGTGATCGGCGAGTTTAGCAATTTTTTCCGAGTGTCTAGCAATAAAAATTAAACTTTATTAATTAATGTAAAATCATGTAATGAAAACATGTAAAAATAATGCGAATATTTGCTCTAAATTATAATTTGTATCCACTTATATTAGAATTTTCTCCTTAACATATTCTGTCTCTTCATATTAAATTATTATTATCTTATGTCATATATAATAAAATATCTTAAATCTTAAAAAATAAAGCAAAAACTATTGTTATTTATGTAAATCTAACTTTTTCACTTCTAGCCAGTTAACAATCTCATCTGCTAAATTTTTAGTACTCTTAATCAAAACATCTCTCATTTCTGATGGAAGCTGATCATTAAATATTCCTTTCGAACACATCTCTTTTTGCTTTGGTTCCTGAATATTAAAATATTTTATTAGAGAACATTTTGATGAATTTATCCATTTATTTTGGAATAATATAATTAATAAGATTGCGTCCGTGAAGAATTGTCGGATATTTGTAGCAATATATCCGGCAGAAACTTTATATTGAAATGACGTGTATGTATATAATGGTATGAATACTTTTTTTGATCAGTAATATAGTTTTTAGAAAAATAGTACCGGATATATGACAAATATCCAGTATCCGGCTCCAAATTCCGGACATTTACCAGATAAAAAATTTAAAAATGTATCCGTAATAATAAAAGTTTTCAGGTATTTATTATTCACTTTATTTTAATATAAAATTTTGACACGATATATTTTCAGATATTAGATATCCAGCAATACTTTCTGCATATCCGGTGCATTTCTAATAATTAGATTTGTTGTAATACGGATAGGAAATTTGGAATATCATACAGAGATCAAGCTATACAAGAAATCTCCATAGTAATTTTATATACAATATAATTTCTTTGTACACTTAGAGCACATCTTTTTTCGGAGAAAGATACGAGTCAGCCTAAACATCTTTAAAATTTTACCAAAAAATAGTTTTAAGAAGAGTTTTATTAGATTCTCTGAGCAGATGTGGTAAATAGTACATTGCAATGCGCAAAGATGCATTAATAAGAGAGTACGCCAAAGTTTTAAAAATAAATATTTCATTTCTGACACTATTTATGGATATTCATTTATGTCAAATTTAATTTGTTTTGAATTGAATATGTATATTAATTAAAAGAATCCATATTACAAAATTTGAAATTATTAATCGGATCAAATATAATAGTTTTTTTTTTATTTCTTTCTCAGAGATACTAAAATCTTTCAGTACTATAATCAGAAACACAAATTGAAAAATTGTATCCTCTGTAAAAATATTTAAAATTTGTATTAAAAAGTATTTAATTTTAAAAGACTGCTAAATAAAAATACATTATAGGAATTATGAAATTTTCTTTGCATAATTACGCCTTATTCACTACAGCGACTTTTAAAAATGTTTTTTTGAGATATCTTTCGAACGATTTTCAGAAGTCAAACACATTAAAAATGTATTTACGACACACTCTTAGCAAAACTTCTTACCCGCGAACGACATTATTGCTAAATGAATGCAGCGAAGTCTTTCTTGTAAATAAAAAATCTTATACGATAAACAGCGCATTTTAAGTTTAATACATTAAAAATGGGACTCTTGTGTTTATTACAATTATAAATTACTTCTCTATAGGATTATAATTGTGATGCATGTGATTCTATAACTCTACAAATTTTTCGCAATGCAATGTTCATAAAATGCAATCAAAGTATTGAAATTGATAAAATTTTTATATTTGATATTAAGAATCTTTAATATAATGTTTAATATCAACACAAAAATTTGAACTTTGAATGGTTCGTGCCATTGATCCGACTTCTTAATTGTGACAAGAATAACTGTTATGACTGACTGTGAGTCATACGTGATGATTTACTTTCTCACAAAGGGCTACGGAGGCAGCATGAAATCTAGCAATTCCGCGAAGTGCCAGTATGGAATGATCTAAATCAAGACCATACATGTGATCGGCCATTCGAAAACCGAGAGATGCGAGGTCTTCGATCACCAGAAGTACTGGATTTTCATTTTGCGCATAGAGAATCTTCCCTCTCAAGCGGTGCTTTGATCCTAACAATTTATTCATTTTATCTAAAGTATCTGACATCATCAACATTTCGATGTGAAAGAGATCTACTTGTGTGTCGTGCACCAAATTTATTTAAGATGAATAAGAGGAATCCTTTAATCTAACAAGCATGTGATTATTTGTGTTATAATGGCTTATGTAAGATCTACATAAAATTTGTATAGTAGAATGTTTCAAGATTTGAAAAAATGAAGAATATTTTCTTTAAATACAAAGTAATGCATATATATTCGATTTCTTATATGTAACTTATAAAAATTTTATTTTAAACACTCATTACTCAAAAATAATTATCCTAATCTTTTTATTGAAAAGAAATGTACTGCAAAATAAAATTTGTCACAATTTTCTCTCTCTCTCTCTCTCTCTCTCTCTCTCTCTCTCCCCCTCTCCCTTCCTCCTCTCTTTTTTTCTCTTTTTCTCTATCCTCTTTTTTCTTTTGATAGAAATATTGAATATATTAAATTAACTTCTCCTCCTTTCTTTATTAGAAATATTGTATATATTAAATTATCTTACCATTTTTTGTTGAACTCCTTCACGCGAAAGTTTAATAATAATTGATTTTTTTCTCTTTAATCTTAGAACCGCGCGAAAATTCGACAGTAATCCTAATATCGCTTATTGTCACCCTTCATTGTGGCTGATTTCGAAAATATATCGATCACCTGAATCGAATTGTCGTTTTCTGACTTTCGCAGAATCTTCTCCACGAAGCATAGATTTAGCCATGTTGGTGTTTCTACGGCCATTTCTGAAAATGGAATTGGAAATGGAGAATTTTCTCATGTCCTTCTCGCCATGTTAGGAAAACAATTCTTTGCAGTAACTTATTAAAGATAAAATTCACGTTTTCTTTTTCTTCTTCTGCTTCCTTCACTCTTCTGATCTTTCGGCTCTTGAGCTATAGATGACTATATCAAATTTTGTAGTATTACTGTATTTCTTGTCTACATTCAAGAGTTTTATATGGGTTTTCTTATTTTATTAGTTATAGTTATATTTTATTGTATTCAATGTATAAAGTTAATTGAAATTACCATTCAATCTTGTCACTATTATTTTATGAATAAACTACTTTGTGGGTGTATTTGTTCCGAGTATAAAGCTTCTTATCATTTTTTAAATATTTCTTAATTTAATTTTTTAAATATGAATTAATATTTATTAAATATTTTTAAATATACAAATATACAAATTTTAAAATATATAAAATCCTTAAATTATATTTGAAAAATTAAAAAAGTTATATTATATTTAAACTCTCCCTCTGAGAAAAAAGCTATTTAAAAAAAAGATATTACAATTCAATGTATATGCAATGAGCATGGACTGTTAAGCCAATATTTGTTAATTCAAACGAATAACATGTTCTAAATTACAAGATTTTGATGACATGCCATATATCCATTTTAAATATATAAATATTTAAACTGGATAATCACTACCAATTATAATAAACGCACTTAATTTAATTAACAATTAAACTTTTGCTCAGTGTTTAAATTTTAGTGTTTTTTTTATTTAAGAGATACACAAGAATAGTTGTACTCGAACTTTGTATTAGATATTTAATTTTTTTTAAATGTAAGATTATTTAAACAAAAAATTATTTATAAAAAATTATTTATATGACTCTAAAGTTGTCTATAAAAATGCTATCCTAAGTAAAATTATTCTAAATAATTTTTCTAAATAAAAACTTTTCGATAAACACAAACTAAAAATAACAATTTCAATATTATAATTTTACAATTTAAATACAATATAACACAATATAACATACGTTACGTAACACTTACATTGTTAATTGTGAAATTATAAAATTATAACCATTTTATTGATGTTATGTTACTTTTAATTAATGTTTATTGCATGTTATGCCTTCTATATACTGGACGTGATAAGCGACGAGCAATATCCGCCTTTGAAAGCTCCGCCTTTTTACGCGTGACGATGAATAGCAGAATTCTCATTAAGTATTGTTCGTCGCTTATTGTTCATAGCGTCCAGTGTGCAATGAGTACTACAATTCGTTCGCGAATTATGTAATGTTTGCAATTTAAACTTTTTTTTTCTCAAGATTTCATATTTTCGAAATGCAATGTATATTAAAGAATTCACTATGATATTTCGATGAATATCAAAGAATTCATTATGATGTTTAGGACTTTATTTAAAATTTTTCTCAATAAACCCCGACCGAATATCAATATCAAAAGAACAAAAAAAAACAAAAACTGTTTCTTGTGGATAAACTACACTTTTAAAATTTAAATGAAATAAATAAATAAATAAATAAATAAATATATGCATTTTTTTTTTATATATATATATATATACGTATATATATTTGCTATTTTGTGAAAGCGAGAAAAATTTTCTAATTCGTTCTAATGTAGGTATAAAAAACAGATTTAAAGTAGATACTGATAATAAGCAATATCCTAAAGTGACTAACCTAAAATTATTCGTTATCGACTCCACTCGTTTATTTCTCTTATATCACTATGCCGTTTCGTAATGCCAACTTTGAAATGATAACGTAAAACAGAATTTACAAGCTTTATAATTATATAATATGTCGATATCAATCAGTATATTCACTCATATTTGTTCATTCACAGACTTTGTATCGATAAATGTTAAGAATACTCAGTTACTTAAATTTCGATAAAAATATATTCAATCGATGTGTTTTTGCTATAAAAATAAAGGTTTGACAAGAAAAAGCGTCGACCTGTCTTATGAATCGTTAAAGCTACTTATGACGACTCTTCAGGTTAAAAAATCTGTCATAGCCACGTAATATTGCGTCACGAGTATGCACTATGATCATTTGTCTAGCATTAATTCCTAAAAATAAATATTTTCTGCTTTTATTGCACAAATTCTTAGCTTTAAAAACAAATTCTATGTTTTAAAAACGTAAATTATTTTTTCATATAATTTTTGTTTTTACGGCGGAGAATTTGTTTCTAACACAGAGGATTTGTGTTCTTAAAGTAGATAAAAAAACACGGAGAGAAGCATACAAAACGCATGCGCATGTGGAAACTGCAAAGTATGTTCGCATTGTTGTATTTTATAGCTTGTTAATTATCCAACTTGAATAGTCATCAACTTTAATGATTATTATCCCGATTTTCAGATTAGAGCGACATGTTTTTTCTTGTCAAAACTTTATTTTTGCGCAAAAACGCATTGATTAAGTACAATATTTTTATCGAAATTTGATGTAAACGGATTGTTAACTTAATTAATATTTACTAAACAATAAATAATAATCTATAATAGAGCAAGATAAGACAATAACAAGCGATGTTTTGCGATGCAATAGAAAATAAATTGACGTCGTTGCATTAAAAAAATCACAATAAATGTTATCGAGTTACGACATCCGCAAGTTACCATTATCTATTATTAGTTTCTATCTTTCCCCTTTTATTCCCGACAAATTATAAAACCATTCCAGAATAATGGCTATAAGCTAATAGAAAATTGTAATTACACTAAGATGATTCATCATATATAACACGACAGTTTTGTTAAAATAAAAACGATTTTTTTATTTATAAAACAACATATTCAAAATTCAAAATCAGAGAAGGATACATTTCCTTGCAAGATATCACTGAAAAAATTGTATTCTGAAGAATATCCGACTTACGTATAGTTTTCTTCTAAAATAAGCGCCAAAACGATTCTCTTAATTTAAGAGAAAAATTATCTAAATTATATTCTTAATATAAGAATAGGATGTCCTATTTTAAACGATTTCAAATATCTTTTGAACAATATATTTTAGAGAAAAATGTTTCAGACAAAAATTGCGGATGGTTTTAAGGGGGATATCATCAAAAACCACATGAAGTCGCGACGTTGCCTTCATAAATAAAAAATATATTATTAATTTAAGAGGAAATATTTTTATATCTGTTAAGAGAGGAAATATTAAGTACATCTTTCAAGAATACAATTTTTTCGGTGATATAATATGATTTTATTATCCAAATAATATAATTTTTATCAGGGCCAATTAGAAAACTATCATATAATATATATAGCCAATAATAAAGGACCAGTTGTAAATTTACGATATTCTTTTATTAAATTATTGACCAACAATTTGCAATTTTAGATTTAGCAAAAAATTACAATAAAGTTTCAAATTTACGTACATCATAGACTCCGATTATTTTATTACTTATTACTTTGTAACTTTTTTCAATTTTTCTTATTTCTCGCATTCTATGTTAATACAATTTAAATATTTCAGTTCGAATCACAATTAATTTACATCACAATTTTTGGTATAGGATAATATTTTATATATCTCTGTTTTTATAATGTCATTTTCTTTATTAACATATGTTGAATTAGACAATATCTACATAACGAAATAAAATATGTATGTACATCGTTATCTATGACAAATTGATAAAATATTTTAAAAATCACGATTATTTTAAAATCTTAATGAATCAAGAATAAAATCGTCATAAAAATATGATTTTGATGACTTTTTCGCATCAAAAATATGTCATTACTTAATTCTACGTTTATTTGTTAAAAAGAAAATTTTTTAAAAAATAGATCAACCTTTATTAACAACAAATTAAAACATCCTTATTATTAATTTTAATGTATTTATTTACATTAAATGTCCTGATTTCTTAAACTTCTATTTTTTTCTACTTTAACATACTATCACTAAATATAAAGAATATATATTAAAGATCCAGCAAACCCCACTTGTCGTATAGTGACAGTCTTTTTATTAATATTTTTTTATAATTCTCATTCTTTAAACCTGGATTCGTATAAATATCAGTGCCCAATATTTCATCCAAATCTTTTGCCTCAGCCTTACAGCACAACATGAATGGTAAAACGGTGAAAGATGTCAACATTCCATAGCTAGCTTTTTGTTTTATGGAAGCCTTCAGTTCTTTCATAGTGGGCGGCTGCGTCTTGCAATTCAGTTGTTTCATAGTCGTTGACAAGGTGTCAAGATATTCATTTAATAAAATATCTGTCTTATGTTCAATAACATCAAAGGAAATACTTGAATTAAATAAATAGATAAGATCGAGTGCCGCCGATGCATAGGCACACATTTGAAAGTCTACCTGCAATATTAAATAAATATTTTCGATCTATAAATTTTTTAAGTCAATCATATTGGAGATAAAATCTGTGCAACACACACATGCACACGCATGCGCACACGCATAAAGGAAAAAAATGTGAAGCATTATATTTAGGAAGTCGCCATGACAACGTTGATAGCTCAGAAATGGATAACATTGGCATGAATATGCCTATATGATTATACTGAATACAATGCATTATTCAAAACATATTTCATTTCCAAATTTCTTATACCGTTATCGTCTTTGTTTTGATTGCTGCAGCTAAAATTGCAGATAATTAAATTGTACTAATATGTATCGTAATAGTATCTTTGGAAACAATATTGGTTCATTTAATTTATTGTTATGCAAATTTATAGCATTGCATTTAACTATGAAAAATACAATAAAAATTCAGAAATGTAGATAATAAAAATTGGAATAAAGTAATTGACAATGAGCTATGTTAATTTACGTTTATAATAAAATTTATATTTGTCTCGATATAAAAAATATATTTTCAAAGTAAATTCGCTGTTTCCGCAACACCTCAAATAACATTTATTGTATGAGCATCTTTTAGATGTCTTATGTCTAAAAGATATTTTATGCAACATGCATGTTATCTGGGACTCGTCTTATCACATGTAAATATGTACTAAAAGTTTCATGAATGATTTTATTTTAAACTTAGAGTTCTTATTTAATCTTAGTCCCAATATAAAGTCATGATTATAATAAAATAATGAGCACATATTTGAAGGAAGTACATGATTTTTTATAACGTAATAGTACTTACAAAAATTTGTTCAGTAGGTTTCCCATTATAGTCATATTTGAATAACATATTATTCACTTGACAATCACCATGGTTAATAACATTAAATTCGTCTTCAGACAGCATATGTGTATCTACTTCTATATGATACATGTGATCGGAAAGTTTAGAAACTTTTTCTGAGTATCTAGCAATAAAAACCAACCAAATGTAAAATTATATTTAAAATACTTAAGTGAAGGTAATATAAATTTGCACTAAACAATGCAATTTGTATTTATATTTGCAATTTTCTTCTTAATATGATTTTTCTCTTCATATTAAATACTTATCTAATGCCATATATAATAGAATATCATAAACATTAAAAAGTAAAGTAATAAATATTGTCATAAATACAAACTTTTTTGCTTCTGGCCAGTTCGCAATCTCATCTGCTAAAGCTTTTGTACTCATAACGAGGAAAGTTTCTATTTCTGGTGAGTGATGATCAAATTTTCCTTTTGAATACATCTCTTTTTGCTTCGGATTCTGAGTATTAGAATATTTTTATTAAAATATGTTTTAATGTTTTTTATACATTGAATTATAGAGTTAAATAATTAGATTTCCAGTAGGGACAGGAAATTCAGATTATATAGATCAATAAGCTATACAAGAAATCTACACATAGTAATATGTATGTCTTCAATTTAAGGAATTTCAGGAATATCTTTTTTTGGAGAAAGTTACGAGAGAGTCTAGTACGCATGTCGAAAAAATTTTATAATACAAGGGTATTTACAAATCTTTAAGCAAATTTTTTATTAGGTCTGTTGAGATGAGCATGTGCAAGTTGTACACTGTGCAAAAGTATATTTATAAAAGAGTATGCCAAATTAAGTTTTAAAAGTTTTTTTCTAGCACCATTTATGAGTGTTTGTTTCTGTTAAATTTAATTTGTTTCGAAATGAATACTGTACAATAATAAAAATATTCGTATTACAAAATTTGAAATTCTTATTCGGATTGGATGGTTGCCCGGGAAAATATATTTCATATATAATTATAAAATTATATTTAATATTAAGAGTTTTTTATATTTAACATATTAATGTGTAAATTTCATCTTTCAATGGCCCTTATACTCGTTCCATTGATCCGAATTTTTAACTGCATTGAAATGTTGAAATTGATTGTGAGTCATACGTGGTGATTTACCTTCTCGCATAAGACAACGGAGGCTGCATGAAATCTAGCAATTCCGCGAAATGCCAGTATGGAATGATCTAAATCAAGACCAGATGAACGATCAGCCATTCGAAAACCAAGAGATGCAAGGTCTTCGATCACTAGAAGCGTTGGATTTTCATTTTGCGCATAGAGAATTTTCGCGCTCAAGCGGTGTTTTGACTCCAACAACTTATTCATTTTATTCAAAGTATCGGACATCATTGATATCTCGGTGTGAAAGAGACCTTCTTGTGTGACCTGTGACAAATTTATTTAAGATAAATAGTAGAACCTTTAATCTAACGGGCATGCAATTATTTGTAATATAAAGGCCTACGTAAAAAACTATATACTATGTATAAAATTTATATAGTATAAAATTTCGAGATTTGTTTTGAAACAAATAAAGAATGTCTTCCTTAAATACAAAGTAGTGTAATTTTACAAGATTTGCAATATAGATTCGATTTTGAACACAATGATTATATGCAGACAATAACAAATTTCAATTATATTTTTGAACAGTCCATTACACTTTAAACCAACTTGATTTTCTCGCATAATATCAGAGAGAAGTTATTTCTAAATTTTTCAATTTATTTATATCGCAAGTAAATACAAAAGTAAATACAAAAACGATTCCGAAACGAGCGGTATTTTGAGGTATTTAATTACAATTGCAAGCAAGCTTGTATTTCATATTTTCCATTTTGCGTAGCATTCATTTATACATTAATGATTAAAACCGCTTGACGTCCATCTGCTAATTTGCGAGACATTGCGTGCGTTGAACGTATCACTTTATGTAATCGTATTTCTTTCGTGTTTCTTTCGTGTTATTCTTCTATCGCAAGATAATATAAAATACATGTCGCATGTGATTAACATGATCGTTGTACCAACGGTTTAACTATTATCGTATTTTGATAATTAATGCAAGCACGTAATTAATTAACAATGTTTTTGTAAATTTGTATAGATGTCATAAGAAAATGAGAAGCAGTAGAGAAATTAGAGAAAAGAAAGAAGCCTACAAGACACCGAGCAGAACAATCTCAAGGCAAATAATTAATTATTTACATGCATCATTTAGAGAATTAATTCTCTTTTTATTTTAATGATCTAAATCAGAATGTGAGAAAGACACTCATATTTATGGATTTTTATAAAAGTCTATATTTAAGAAAATTATGCCATGTTCCTCGAAAATTACATAATTATTTTAATAAATGTTAATTAAAAAAAAAACGAAAAAAATTCTGAACGGATAGTATTCTTTCAAATATCAAATACTATCAGTGGATGTCATATAATTTTTTATTTTAATTTTAGAAAATATATAGGTAATAAATCTATGAATTATATTTAGATTTAAAATTTCTTTATAAATCTGTTCTCTCTCTCTCTCTCTCTCTCCCTCTCTCTCTCTCTCTCTCTCTCTCTCTCTATCAATTATCCTCTCTCTTTTGATATTAGAAATATTATATATATTAAAGCAACTCCTCCTCCTCTATTAAAAACATTGTACACATTAAATTAACTTACGATCTTCTGTCGAACACCGTCTGCAGGAGAGAGTTTGACAATAATGGATTTTTTTTCTTTAATCTTAGAATCACGTGAATATTCGGCAGTAATTCTAATTATGTCGCTAGTGTAGTTGTCACCCTTATTTGTAGCCAATTTCGAAACTATATTCATCACTTTAATCGAATCGTCATTTTCCGACTTTTGCAGGATCTTCTCCACAAAGCCTAGATCTAACCATGATGTTTCTAGCGTCATTTCTGAAAGTAGAATTGGAATTAGAGATATATTCAAAAAGTCATGTCCTTTTCACTGTATTACAGAACACAAAAACAATTTAACTTAAATAATTAAGTTCCAATATGTAAAAACATTCAATTAATGTATTAGAGACTGAGAGCTGAGAATATCGGATATAAGTTGTTAAATTTTATATTTATAAACCGCAAAGAAATTTTTCAGTAGTCACTTGCTTAAAGAACACAGAAATTATTTTTATAATTTAATAGCATAATTAACTTTGTTTTTAATAGAAAATATAAGATGATGAAAATATAAGATGAAATATAAGATATCTGTAATAACCAACTTTAAGTGCCGGATTAGTTGTTACACTTGTTACAGTTATTGGAATCAGTTATCATGCTGATCTCGTAATAAATCGGTAGTCAGTAGTCCTAAGTCTTATTGATGAAACTGACTAACTTCACTGATTAAGATAATGCATTCGATTGGACGCACTCAGTACGCACTGGTGCACATTAAAATTGTCATACACAAAATAACGTAAAAATATGTTTATGTATAAACATAGAAAGTGATTAAATACTCAATACATTTTGTTTGTACTATTAGGTAAAATATGTATTTTATAATTCGAAATATATGCATTTTACTTTTATACTCAAACGAAATCAGTGTACAAAAGCTTTAATTTATACTAATGCATTAGTTCTTGCAATCGAATTCGCCATTAGACTTCCGACAGACAGATTGTAGAGTCAACATTACAAATCTAGATTTCAAAATATAACGCATATAATTAAAGAAAATAATAAAATTTAAAAAATATGCATAATATAATTTTATTAATATATTTCAGATATTATGTGGATAATATGAGATATATAAACATGCATAGATACATATTAGTTATATAATGTTATTTGATTATTTATAATAAAAGAAAATATTTATATATTTGAATTGTACTTAAGCTTAAATAAAAAATATATTTGAAGAAATGAATATATATGTATATTTATGTCTTCAAATATGTTAAATTATTACTCATGTAAATTATTACTCATCAAGTAAATTTTCTAAAGAAATAATTGAATTTATGTGATAATATGTGATATAGGATGCGTTTGAGAGAGACACTATTCACGTTTTAGACGCAAATGCTATCAACACTGTTCATGGAGTCATAGCGCGTTAGAAAACTCCATGAACGATTCTAGCGTAACGTTGATAGCATTTAACCAGAGAGATTTAATATTCGACGAGATTAATGTAGGGAGTATTTTTAATCACCGATTTTTTCTTTGTAAGTTAAATTTTTAGAATTTTATAAAGTATATGTAACGTAAATTTTTCATTTTTTCATAGTGAATAACAGAACAATCTCAATTGCAATTTCTATGATGGCTTGTCGCTAGGTCAGAATGAACAACGTAAGCTAGATCAAAAAATTAATAGTTACAAAAAATTAATAGTTAAATTAATCAAATAAAAGAAAGAATCCTTGAGCATCCGTCGTCAATTTGAGAAGAGTCTATATCTAAGGATCTTAAGCATCTGCAGCGAAATACCCTGCCGCACTATATCGTAATAGTAACTTTTTTCCATACACGGGAATTAAAAATCATCAGTAACAAGATATCTCTGACTTTCACATTTGTAATGAAAATACACAAGTTGAACTCTGTAGAAACTTTGAAAAGTTAAAGATGATACACAAGCAAGAATTACGTTCACTCCAGCCTAATGGCAAGCCATCAATTGCAGAGATTGAAATTGAGATTTGCCATTCACTATAATAAAATTTGAAATTCACACGTTGCGTACGTACGTTTATTCTACGAAATTCTAAAGAGAGAAAAATTTGGTACCTCGAGAACAGAATCCCCTCAAACATTAATCTAATTCTTGACGAATGTTAAACGTTAGCAAAGCTACGCTAGTCGTTCACGGATCTGTAAACGCTAGCGCTTCCAATACACTATCTCGAACGCGTTGATAGAGCGCAGTTGTGAAATAACACCCATTAATGACCTCATGATCGTATTATATTTAGCGTTATCTACAGCTTTGAAAAGTTTGTAGCGCTAATAGCGCGAATAGCGTCTCCCTGAATGCATAGTAAACTGAGTAATAATTACTATATTTAATGTTTTTGCAATTTTAAGTGTATATACGAATATCATCATATCCCGTGTATCAATTATCCTTTATTTATTATTTCGTGAAAGTAAAAAAAAGTTTTATTGCTGCAGTTTAATGCAGAAATAAAAACAAAAAACAGACTTAAAGTATTGATAAAAAGCATTAAAAGTACTAACCTGACGTTTTATTCGTTTTCGTCCTCAGTTAATTTCTCTTAAATTATTTTATTGTTCTGTTTCGTAAGACAGTTTATTTTAAAATGATATACACAAGATTAAATTTATAGATTTTATATCCATATTGTTAAATGTATTCATCACATGCTTAATATCTATATTGGAAATCTTTAATAGCTTAGATTATTCTTGACTAGATCAACATTCAACTCATGCGCATTGGTTCTTCAATCAAGCAATAAGCGCTAAATCTACATTTAGATTAGATCTAATCTATATTAGATATGATAACCAATAACAGCAATGATAAGACAATAACATATACGATGTGCAAAAAAATAATTAAGTACATCACTGAGTTGTAAAAAAATCGCACTGTAAACAATATTACGATATATATGTGCAAGTCATCATTATCTTTAGTCCTTATCTCCACCAAAAGATAAATTGTGATAAAATTCCAAAATGCCAGTATTAATTGATGAAAAATTTCGCAATTGCGCTAAAATGATTTACTATAATGCAACAGTTTTATCAGAATAAAATTGTTAATGATATTTGAAAAAAATTAAACTATTATAATATATTATAAATATTATAAATAATATTTGTGAAAAACTAAATTAATTCAATTTGAGGTGTAAATATTTTAATAATTTATATTTATCTTCGTTCTGATGTGTAACAAACAAAGTTTTTCATAATTACGATGATCGATATTGTTGCACAAAATCATAAGATTTTAATTCAATATATTCTCGAAATAGTTAACGTTTAATAGTTCTTAGGCGCATCGAATTTTATAATCATTTTACAATTACATATTATTAGTGGCATTTATTTTTCGATTTATCATGGAATATACATTCTACATGATATTTTTACAGAATTGAGAATAAAAAGTCAGTACAAAAAAGATACGTGAGAGAAAAGACGTGTATGTTGTAAAAATATTTATTTCACGTATTTGCATAAAAAATAAAAATAATAAAAATTTATGAAAAAATACCGCGTAAGAGAAAGTTATTTATTGTGTATAAAAAATACTATTACATAAAAAAATTGGAGGGAATGAACATAAAATATAATTATTTATATTTTCCAAAAAAAATCTCAGAAACAAGAATAAACATTTATAAAGTTTAGATGAATTTTCTTTTTTTTAAATATTAATTTATCGAACTGAAAACAGTTTGAATAAATGAGAGAATGAGCTATTATTTATATATAGATAAAAAGTATTATTCTAAATTGTTTCGTCAGTACCTGATGCTTTTCCATTTTTTCTCAGGATTGGATTATCAGCCTCTTGTAAAAAACATCGCAGATAATAAATAAAATTGCGCGCGCATTAATTATTAATAAAAATCTTTCTTACAATACTACAATACTTCTTGAATAAAATCCATGACAGGATTTCCAATTTGGTTGGTGGAATCACTACTTTAGCGAGCATTTAATTCAATTCTTATATTTAAGATCATATTTAAAAGATCATATTAAGTACAATTTTAAGATGTCATAAATCAATCACAGGAACTAAACTTTTTAAAACATTTCTTAAGATAATTTTCTTAGAGTAAGAACTATAAATACTTTAAAATCGACAAATATAAATGTCGACGGTACAAATCGAGGCACTTAATAATGCCTCATTGTGAATCATACATTTTGTCAAAACATCGAAGATATAATCTCACCAGCTCGAATTAGTTTTTCATTAAATGTCGATTCGTAAAAAGTTTATTAATCCGATAATTTCAATGGCACTCTCGAGATAGATGTGCGACATGAAGAATCGATTGTGTTTCGCTCATTTAAATTGATGATAGGATACATCAGCTATCCTCCGTCGTTAGATTTTTACATAAGGATTATGATATTTCTCAAATATCTAAAAATTTAATTATATACTAATATGATTTAGATACAGGGTTGATAAAAATCGTGTTTAAAAAAACAAAACATTCAGTTTTTTTTATTTAAAATATGTTTTTAATGTTTTAAATAGCTTTAGAAAAAACTCATGTTTAAAACAAAAAAAACACCTTTTAAACATATATAACATTTATTGTATTAACATATATTTACTTTATTATAACGCATTTTTATTTTCAAGTATTTTGAAACATTTCTGAGGTATATTTTCATTACCTATTTAATTACCTATTTTCTCATTTTTTCTTAAATTTAAGTGTATTATCACATAAATATATAAGTATATTTGAACGTGTTGTTTGCTATTTAACATTTTATTTGATTGTATATATATTAAGTTATACAAATTTAAACCACAGACATTTTGCTGTGGTCCTTTATGCATATTGATTACTCACGGTTTCTTTTTTGAAATTTTTATTTCAAAATAATTATTCCTTAAACTAATTATAGTTCTAATATTAATCTACGTTATAATTTACGTTACTATAGATTTTTATAGGCTACCGAGCCTAAAGCTGTTTATATACAGGGTGTTTGGAAAATAATGATAAATCTTTCGCAAAGAGGCAGTATGGACTTAAATTGACAAAAAAAGCTCTATCATTTTGCAATTTTTATAATAGTTAACAAGATATTAATTGTTAAAAATTGACGAAAATTGGTCTTCAATAATTTTTACTCAAATATCAACTTTACAAAAGAATTGCAAAAATCAAAACTTGTTTATTTTTTTTTCATAGAACTCTATGAATTTTTTCAGAATTTTTAAATCAATTTTTTAATGTATTTTTTCATTTTTACCAATATAAGAAAATACGGTATTAAAAAATTCTTAAAAAATTATTAAAAAATTTTTAGAGTTCAAAAGAAAATTAACAACTGTTGTCTCTTGTAATTTTTTTATAAAGTTAATAGTATTTGAGTAAAAAATTATTAAGGACTAATTTTTGGTAATTTTTAGCAATTAATATCTTGTTAATTATTACGAAAATTGCAAAATGATAGAGACTTTCTTTTCAGTTTAATCCATTCTGCCCCTATGCAAAAGGTTTATCATTATTTTTCAAATATACATAAAGTTGTATGTATACATGTGTATGTATATACATTTGTATACATGCATATATTCTGCAATACAGGTATATATGCATATATTCTACTTTTTTGTTAATTTTATAATCAAACTAATGTTTTCTAAACAAAATTAACTTTTTAAGACTATTTTTATAGAAGGCCACATTATCATATTTTTCTTCGATTCGTCATTATGCATTGTTTCCACATTTTTATTAATTTTTTATTATAGTGTTCTAAGTAATAAATATTTTGTAATTTTGAATCCAGAATTGATTCAACAATACTTTAATGAATGTAATTGTCAAGTTTTAAACTTAAATATTCATTATTAACCAAGTAAACCAAATTATTGTGTAAAATGCAGAGAATGGAAAGTTACTTTTTCGAAAAAGTAACAAGTTACCATTATTGGTTACCGATTTTTAAAAGTAACTAGTTACAGTTGCTTGAGAAAGTAATTTCGTTACTTTTTCGTTATTTTTTTTTAAATCGATGACCGCCAATCATAACGGAGCTTAGAGGCTTCTCTAGCGTTATGCACTGTAAAAAATTGTTGTGTAAAATTACAACTATTATATTGGATAATTTTAAGGTCCATTGTAATAGATGTAAACGTCCACACGTTTATAAATTTCCAAATAAAAATAATTTCTTGATATGTAACTAAGCAGATTGTGGAAGTACAATTACAATATGTATGTATAGTTACAAGAACGATAATATAACAATACATTTCGTACTATATATTATTATACATTTAACAACAATATGAGAAAGATTATAGAAATGTTTCTGTTATAATACATAATATTACTAAAATTTGGATAATTATCGAAAATATTCAAAATTCATATCCTGCTATTTACATAATTTTCAATATAAAATAAAATACATTTACACAATAAAAGCAAATTTATAATTTTTAAAAGCATTTATTTATAAAAGCAAATTTATAATTTTTGTGGAATTACATAATTTCTACAAAATTGCAGGATTTTTTATATTTACAAAGGACTAACCACGAAAAAAATTTTGTACAAAATGCATTTTGGAAGTTTGCTCCTCGTATGTTGAATTAAGCGGAATTTACAAAGCGGTATAACAAAACAAAATATATCTACGTATATACCGTTATCTCTGATATTATGTTGATAAAATATTTTAAAAAATCACGATTTATCTTGAAACTTTAACGAGAGGTTTCAAAGGTGAAATCATCTTAAAAAAAATATTTATATATATTTTTTTTATTTTTTCGGATCAAAAATATCATCATATACAATTTCACATTTATCAGTTAAAAAAAAAATCCTTTTTCAAAACGTTAATATTCTTCGTCTACTGTTATTAATTTTAATGTATTTTTATATTTACATCTAATATCCTTTCTTAGACTTCTGTATTTTTTTTCTATTTTAATGTTCTATCACTAAAGTATACATTAAAGATCCAGCAAACCCCACTCGTCATACAGTGGAAGTTTTTTTATCAATATTTCTTTCAAACTCTCACTCTTTAAACCTGGATTTATAAAAGTACCCGTGCTCATGATATCATCAAAATCTTTTGCCTCAGACTTACAGCACGGTACCAAAAGCGGTAAAATGATGAAAGAAACCACCATTCCATAGCTAACTCTTCGTTTTATGGAAGCCTTCAGTTCTTTCATAGTGGGCGGCTGCGTCTTGCAATTCAATTGTTTCATAGTCGTTGATAAGGTATGAAGATATTCGTTTAATAAAATATCTGTCTTATGTTCAGTAATATCGAAGAAAATACTTGAATTGAGTAAATAAATAAGATCGAGTGCCGCTGATGCATAGATACACATTTGAAAGTCTACCTGCAATATTAAATGAATACTTTCGATCAATTTTTTAAGTCAATTGTTTGGAGATAAAATCTTCAATCCACACACTCACACACACGCACACACACGCGCGCACGCGCGTGCGCACGTACAATAAGAAAATGATGAAAGAGGAAGGGGGAAGGGGGGAGATATCATATTTAAGAAGTCGCAGCGACAATGCTGATGGCTTATATGGATAACATCGACAGATGAATATGTTTACACCATTAAACTGAATGCATTTATTCAAAACACATTCCATTTTCAAGTTTCTCATACCATCACCATCTATTTGTTTTAATTGCTGTTGCTAAAATTGCAGATAATTAAATTGTGCTAACATGTATCGTAACAGTGTCTTTCGAAACAATATCGGTTCCTTTAATTTATTGTTATGCAAATTTATATCATTGCATTTAACTATAAAAATGACAACAAAAATTCAAAAACATAATAGACAATTGAAGTGAATTAACAATGAGCTATATTAATTTATGTTTATAATAAATTTTAGATTTGTCTCAATATAAAAGATATATTTTATAAGTAAATTCTGTTTCAACAACACCACAAATAACATTTATATTGCATAAGGTGAGCACCTTTTAGATATCTTATGTCTTATGTATTTTATATATTTTATGCAATATACACGTTATTTAGGACTTGTCTTATCACATGTAAATACATACTAAAGTTTCATGAATGGTGTTATTTAACATTTTATAAAACATTTTTACTTAAGTTTACTTAAGTTTACCCAATATAAAGTCTAGATTATAATAAAGTATTGAGCACATATTTGGAGGACGTATATGATTTTTTATGATGTAATAGTACTTACAAAAATCTGATCAGTAGGTTTGCCATTATTGTCATATTTGAATAACATATTATTCATGTGACAATCACCATGGTTAATAACATTAAATTCGTCTTCACAGAGCATATGTGCATCTATTCCTATTTGATATATGTGATCGGAAAGTTTAGAAACTTTTTTCGAGTATCTAGCAATAAAAACCAACCAAATGTAAAATTATATTTAAAAAATTTGTGTAAAGGCAATATAAATATTTGCATTAAACAATGGAATTTGTATTTATATTTGCAATTTTCTTCCAACATGATTTTTCTCTTCATATTAAATACTTATCTAATGCCATGTATCATAGAATATCGTAAACATTAGTTAAAAAGTAAAGTAATAAATATTATCATAAATACAAATCTTACTTATTCGCTTCTGGCCAGTTTGCAATCTCATCTGCTAAAGCTTTGGTACCCATAATGAAGAGAGATTTCATTTCTAGCGAGTGATTACAAAATATTCCTTTTGAATACATCTCTTTTTGCTTCGGGTTCTGAATATTAGAATATTGTTATTAAAGTAGTTTTAATGTATTTATTCATTTAATTAATAAAGTTATATAATAAAGTTTGTAGTGGGAACAGGAAATTACTACTATATAGTAATCAATAAGCTACACATAAGAAATCTACAGAGCAATATACATTTTCTTCACGAATTTAAGGCATATCTTCTTTGGAGAAAGTAACAAAAAACCTAAGGCCAGGTTCACACCTTGGTGGAAAAGCAGAAAGTGAAAAAGTGGAAGCTAATCGGAACTCGCAGTAGTAGTAGGAGGCGATACATTTCGCTTGCCTGTTTCTGTCTTTCCGCGAATTCTGATTGGCTTTCGCTTTTCCGCTTTCCATTAAGGTGTGAACCCGGTCTAATACGCATGTCGAAAAAATTTTACAAGGGACGTGTTTAAAAATTTTTAAGCAATTTTTATAAGATCTGCTGAGGTGAGCGTGTGCAAATTGTACACTGCGCAAAAGAATATTTATAATAGAGTAAAACGCCAAATTAAGTTTTAAAAAATTTTTTTTCTTAGCACTGTTTATGGATGTTTGTTTCTGTTAAATTTAATTTGTTTCAAAATGAATACTGTATAATAATTAAAAATTTTCGTATTACAAAATTCTTATTCGGATTGGATGGTTGGCCGGAAAAATATATTTCATATATAATTATATTTAATATTAAGAATCTTTTATTTGTAATGTTAATACGTAAATTTCATCTTTCATAGCCCTTGCATTTATTCCATTGATCCAACTTTTTAATAATTGCATTGAAACATTGCAACTGATTGTGAGTCATGCGTGATAATTTACCTTTTCGCATAAGACAACGGAGGCTGCATGAAACCTGGCAAGTCTCTGAAATGCCAATAGAGAATGATCTAAATCGAGACCAGATGAACGATTAACCATTCGAAAACCGAGAGATACGAGATCTTCGATTACTAGAAGCGTTGGATTTTCATTTTGCGCATAGAGAATTTTCGCGCTCAAGCGATATTTCGACCCCAACAAATTATTCATTTTATCCAAAGTATCGGACATCATCGACATCTCTGTGTGAAAGAGACCTATTTGTGTGACCTGTAACAAATGTATTTAAGATAAATAAGTAGAATCTTTATCTAACAGCCATGCAATTATTTGTAATATAAAAGCCTACGTAAAGAACTATATATAAAATTTATGTATAAAGTTTAGAGATTTGCTTTGAAACAAATGAAGAATGTCTTCCTTAAATACAAAGTAGTATACGTTTGTTCACTATGTAAAGTTGATTTAAATCACTGATTATACAAAAATACTTGTCCTTAATTTTCCAGTTAAATAGTAGTACTCCAAAATAATAAAATTTGCCAATTCTCTCTCTCTCTCTCTCTCTCTCTCTCTCTCTCTCTCTATTTCTATCATCCTCTCTCTTTTGATATTAAAAACATTATACATATTAAAGCAACTTCTACTCCCCTATTAAAAACATTGTACACATTGAATTAACTTACGATTTTCTGTCGAACACCGTCTACAGGAGAGAGTTTGATAATAATGGATTTTTTCTCTTTAATGTCAGAGGCGCGTGAATATTCGATAATAATCCTAATCATGTCGCTAGTGTAGTTGTCACCTTTGCTTGTAGCTGGTTTCGAAACTATATCGATTACCTGAATCGAATCGTCATTTTCCGACTTTCGCAGAATCTTCTCCACAAAGCATAGATTTAGCCATGTCGATGTTTCTAGTGTCATTTCTTGAAAGTGAAATTGAAATTAGCGATAGTTATCGATAAATCTTTTCACTGTATTATAGAACACAAAAACAGTTTAACTTAAATAATTAATTACAACAATTCAAATATGTAAAAATATTCAATTAAAATGTATTAGGGGCTGAGAGCCAATGCTATATGTAAGTTGCTTAATTCTATATTTATAAACGGCAAGGAAATTTTTCAGTCACATGCTTAAACAACACAGAAGTTATTTTTATAATTTAATAGCATGATTAGTTTTGTTATTTGTTAATGGAAAATACAAGGTGAGGACGCCTGTAATAACTGGCTCTAAAAGCCGAGTTAATTGTTACACTTGTTCCAGTTTGTTCGATAGTGCTCATTCAAATATCACATTGACCAAGGAGGAAGTACAAGACTCGAAATAGAAAATTACTGTATTTAAATTTGGAATAGATATAATAATCATAAGATTAAAATATTTAAAAAAATTAAACATTATGAATACATTCACTCGATATAACGATATGCAAACATTATAATAATGATATTAACTATCACAGGAGAATCAGACAATAATGCGCTATTGTAGGAATTATTCTCACACGGAAATGTTCGTGCGCATGCGGATTACCGATACAATATGAAAGCAGCCAATACGAAACATGGGGTTCCGTTTCTTGCATGCTGATAGAAGCATAGAAGTTCGTTCAGTTTCTCTTCAGGCACTCGCTGCATGCATGATTCAACCCGCAATTGCATAACTCCGCCTCTTTCGGTGCATGACCGCATGAAGTCTCTCCTCTCGAGCTGAGGCAGTTCATGCAGCTTATGCATTCAACATATTTTATCGCGAAACTGAAATCATGGGTGGTTCGGCTGGGGCAAACACGATACTCAAAATCACGTAAGAGTTAAAGATACGTAA